CTAGCCTATTCATGAATGTTTATAACAATAGAGCAATACAATTACCCCTATGTGACATCGATTTCCAATCACCGCACCTTTAGAGTGCTTGTTAACTCTCAAATACTTTGAAATTTTAGTTTAATTGTGATAACTGATAACCAAAGATTTTTATTAAATTGGTGGAATCATCCACCTAATTGTTCTTACTATTACAAATGAGCAATTTTACAATCCTAATTTCCTGATCGGAATTCTCTACTATATATCATTCTCTCTGAGATTCGACACCGACTCTTTGTTAGGTTTTTATTGCCTACGATTGTTGTCCCTTTTAACTGGTTTTAAGGAGGACACTTGACCGTGATAAAAAAATGGCACCGCTGCCAGGAAATGGTGGTTGAGAATTCTAATTGTGAAATTATATTTTAATATTATTTAGTAGTATATTGTTGTTTTGTGTTGTTTTTGGCTAATTTGCAGTACCTTATACAATGAGTGACCATGGTAGTGACGACGATTGTCACTATGGTGAAAACGACAATATTGGTGATTTTAATGATATGCATATGATTATTGTTCAAACCACACCACAGTCGGGTGGGTTGTGTTTCACATTACTAGAACAATGCTACAATTGCTCCAACTGAAAGGAAATTTTGTGGGACTAGCTCATAAGGATCCCCATGAACACCTTAGTAATTTTATAGAGGTATGTGGACCATTTGTGTTCAGGAATATATCTCAAGAGTTTGTAAGGTTGAGGTTATTCCCATTCTCTTTAACGGGAGAGGCTACTAGATGGTTGGCAAAATTGTCAAATGATTTTATCACTTCATGGGAGGAGCTAAATGATGCCTTCTTGGAGAGATTCTTTCCACCCTCGAAATTTTTTGAACTTCGAACCCAGATCCAATATTTCAAGCGCATAAGAGGTGAACTTCTACATGAGACGTGACTGAGGACTAGCTTTCATCCCCAAATCGATGGGCAAGCGGAGAGTACTATCCAAACTTTGGAAAATATGTTAAGGGCTTGTGTGATCGATTTTAAGGGTAATTGGGGTGACCATTTGCCATTGATTGAGTTTGCTTATAACAATAGCTATCACTCGAGTATTCATATGGCTCTATTTGAGGCCTTATATGGTAGGAGGTGTAGATCTCCTATAAGATGGTTTGAGGTGGGTGAAGTCACCCTAATAGGTCCCGAGTTGGTACATGAGGCCATAGAGAAAGTTTCACTTATAAGAGAAAGGTTGAAAATGCCTCAAAGTCAGCAAAAGTCATAAGCCGATGTGAGAAGAAGGGATCTTGAGTTTGATGTTCATGATTGGTATTACTTGAAAATCTCACCCAAGAAGGGTGTAATGAGGTTTGGCAAGAAAGGGAAGCTTAATCCCCAATATGTAGGCCCATATCAGATTTTGAGACGTGTTGGTAAGGTTGCTTATGAGCTAGAATTGCCAAATGAGCTGGCATCGATGCATCCGGTTTTCCATGTCTCTATGTTGAAGAAATGTGTTGGTGATCCGACATCCATAATTTCCTTAAAAGGGTTGGGAGTTAAGGAGAATCCTTCTTATGAGGAAGTTCAGGTTGAGATTTTGGACCGGCAAGTCAAGAGGTTGAGAAATAAAGAAATAGTTTCGTGAAAGTGTTGTGGAGGAATCAGTTAGTTAAGGGTGCTACTTGGGAGGCCCATGCCGATATGATGTCCCGATATCCTCATCTCTTTCGTTCTAATCCTACTATAGCTTGAGGTAATGAGTTCCTCATGTTTTTTTCCTTGTTTTGAAGTCATATGTTTTTATGTGTTTCCATGATCTCCTTATTAAACATGATTTGTAAAAGTTCAAGTTTTGAGAAAATGAGTTAATTTGATTGATTTCTACATGTTTATGTGCACATGAGTATGAATTGCATGTAGACTACTTGATATGATGTTGTGAGCATGATGTTATCTTGGAGTTGATGTTTTCTCCTCGAATTTGTGCATTTCATGCATATTGGGCTGTTAGACTTAGTTTCACTCCTCTTATGATGTTTTGGTAATGTCTTAGATTGGAGTCGATAGTTTCTCCTTAGTTGTATGCATTGCATTGTAGGTTGGGTTGTTAGTTCCTCTCCTACTCTTTTCGTATCAACTTGAATCTCATTCGAGGACGAATGATCCCAAGGGGGAGATACTGTAACATCCCGAATCGGAAAGAAGGCAACATAGCCTTTTTCAGGAATTCCAAGTGCCAGCCACGAGGGGCCAACCAAGGCCCTTGGAAGGGACCACGGACCATGGGTGGGGTCCGTGGACTGGTCACCCTCAAGTTCCTCGAAGGCTCAGGACCACAGCCTAACCAACAGACCATTGGTCAGACCACGGTCTGTGGTTGGGGGTCCCCGTGGTTCGATGCCCAAGAACCCTTTTTGACCACCATCGACGGTCCAACAGGAAGCTAAGGACCGTAGGTCAGTCCATGGTTCGTCCACTAGGGTCCGTGTGTGGTGAGTCGGCAGTTAAGTTCAAGGGTAGTTGGGTCTTTTACTAATTAATTAACTCCTATACTACATCGTTTTATCCTTTACTAAGACCCCTATATAAGTAGTTTCAACCCCCAAATAAACCCATTCAAGTCATCCTTCCAAAATCACAAAAGAAGATCAATCCTTCTCTCCAAAATATTTCTCTCTCTAGAAACTTGAAGAAGAAGAAGGGTTCAACCTAGGGTTTCAAGGCAAGCCTTCATTTTCACCATTGAAGATAAGCTTTTGGCTTTGAGGTATGATAATTTTTATCCATTGATTCCTTCCATTCATGGAGTTCCCAAATTCCTCTATTTCAAAGTTAGAATTCCCCAATTGAGTTAGGGTTTTCTTCAATTATCATGGGTTCGTTTCATTATTGATTTAGATGATTGAATTATGATATCTTATGCATGAATTGATGAAGTACTATGATTTTATGATGATTTCCCCTATGAACCCATGTAATCCCCATGTTTTCATGTTATGAGTCATATGATATATGTGGGATTTTGATTATAAAGGAAGAGTTTTATGAAATTAAGCATATATTGCTAGCTTTACCTGAATTTATGATCAAATCCATATATAATCCTTGTTTTCTAAGTATTGATGATTGAAAGTGGGTTTTGACCGTGAAAGGTAAATTATGGATTTATGCATGTTCTTATGAAATTTATGCAAATGTTATAAGGATGCTTTGAGAATAAAGTATCAATGATGTTGTTGATGTGTTATTGAAAGGACATTCTCATAAAAACACAAAGAAAGATGTGAAAGGTTTTCTTACATAATAAAGGATTCTAAGGTTGAAAGGTTTTCTCACCTAATTAAATCAAACATTAAGAGCTATCCTAATGAACCTAACTTGGATTGGTTATTGAAAGATACCTTTCCATGGATGATGACTTAGCTTGGATTGGCAAGATGACGTGCCTTTTCATGGATAATAAGAACAAGTAAGAAATGACTATTCTGTGAGATTTGTGCTTAGCACCGAGAGGATATTGAGATGGAAGCTCCCCCGTTATTAGAGACCGGGTTTCTAGTAGAAATCTCCTTATCCCTTATCTATGTGCTCCCATAGGACGATTGTCTAGATAGACAATATCTAGTGGATCCACTTTAGCTCAAATTTATGGTCCTTACCTTGGAAAGTAAGACAACCCTTTTTGGTGTGGGAGACACTAGGATCATGTTATAGCTCACATGGTCTCTATTTCGGTTAAGGCTAATTCCCCACATTAATAATGAACTAAGGTTACTTCAAGAAGTATCTCATGAGTGTTCAAAGGCTTTAAAGATGATTAGCTTGCATTGACCATGGTTTTATGACTAATGTTTTCTAACTCTTTTATATCATGTTTTAGCTTGGTCAATTACATGTCATGAAATGAAATGTTCCTTTTTAGCATGATTTAAATGTTTTATGCATACCTATCATACTTGGTACATTATTTTGTACTAACACATACTCTTGCCTATATTTCCCCAAATGTAGGGTCCGACAATCAGGTTTCTCAGTTTCGTGGCTAGTGTTTGAGTTCAAGGTTTCCCGAGCTTTGGTGAGTCCTCATGCTTCGAGGTCAGATGTTTATTGTTTCACTTTCGTTCATGTATTTCACTTTTGTACATGATGTATGGGCTATGCCTAATTTCATTCTATTGTACTAGATGGCTATATTGAGACAAGTGTTTACGCTTCCGCTTTTCTTTTATAAAAACCTATTGGACTTGGACTATTGTTTTACTCTTATTGTTCTATTTCTTATGTGATGAAAGCTAAGTGGCTTGTATGGGGTCCTTCGAGGTTCTATACGTCATGTTACATCTAAGGGGTACCCCTAGGTCGTGACAATAAATAGGGGATGTACATGACATTCTAAGGAAATTAAGAAAACTCTTCAACAAGCATTCTGCAATTGGAGAAAGCTACAACACCAGCTACATATAGCTCTTCGAAGGAGTGGTCAACGAAGTTCTTCCAGGAGATCAACTTGCAACGACGAAGTGCTCCCGACGTTCTCGGAGATCAAATACATCTCTAGGAGGTCTACATCATCCTACATTCGAGAAATATGCTATTGAAGGCCCTCGAATCACGAAGAAGCTTAGGAGAGAAGAATCAAGAGAGAACAGAATTATACTCACAAATTCATCAATAAAAATCACATTTTCTTTTATTTATTTTGCTTGCAGTTAATTTTCAGCGCTTATGGAAATTTGTTGAGAACAACAACCATATGTAAAATGAATAAATAAAAGAGACAACAAAGATGAATTTTAAAAAAATGAAATTCTAGGAACATCATTGCATAACAAATAACGACGATATACTAGACAATTTGATATTGAATAGTTTTACAATACAAATGCATACATTATAGTAGTTTCATGACATGATATGCTTTCAAAGAGGATCATTAAAAGGGTTTAATAGTATATGAGTTGCAGTAGCCCCAAATTAAATTTAGAGTTTAGACCTTATCTCATAATTTTATATTATAAATTCAAAGTTTAGACCTTTTCAATTGTTCTCTTTCTGGAAGTTCCAAGTAACCCCAATGATCGTCATGGACCACTTCAGAAAACTGCATTACTATTGCATCGTGTACTTGCTCCAACTTTGATGGTTCCCACTATACATGTTCACAATAAACACATTCATTATAACCATTGGTTTTTTCTTTTTTATTTAATCTAAAATTTGATAATATTTTTCTATCACTTGAATATTTTAATTTGTTGTTAAATAAAAGAAAATGTATAGAAATATCTGTATAATTAAATTCGAAGATTCGTGATACCTTAAACTTTTTGTCCTTTGTAAAAAAGATTGCTTTACCACCCTACAAGTTCAACCAACATTTGTATTACTTAATTAATAGAAAGGGTAAATTAAAATCATAATTTACATGACAGTGTAACTTAAAAGACATACCCCTACGTACCTCATAGAAATCGTTGTAATTGAATGATCTTAGTACAATGTGACTACTGATGTTAAATTCACGAATCAAACATTGTCTAAGTGTTTGCTTGCGTCCTTCTCTAATCTGTAAAACAAGATAAATTTTGTCACATACATTCAAGAAATTAAATTTTATCTTAAAAACAATAATAAACTTGATTAAACTTTTTGTTTAGGAAAACCAACTAATAGTGAGCAGTTATTACAGATCTGAGAGTAATCTTAAGGCTTGTTGGTGATGCCAACTTCATAGACTTGATTGCATTGGCGATCCACTTATCATTCATTGCAGTGTTTTCCTTTTCCTATCAAACATAATATATATATTCTAGTTAATTAGCAGTAAATACAGGATAATTTGTATGTTATATTGGTAAAAGGGTAAAATGTATACCTTTATTATGCAAAATTGTTCAATTTTATCCTCTATTATATTATATGTACACAAATGTCGTCTAAATGGTTCAATTATACTCCTCAACAAATTATTAGTGTCCATGTCAGACAGCCTTAACAAAGGAGGGGTATATTTGAACTATTTAGATAATGACAAAGACATTTTAATTTGTATAACAGAGGATAAAATCAAAAAAATTGGCCTAGTTGAGGGGGTAAATTTGATGTTTTCCCCCTTTTCATGTTTGCAAACAAATTTGATTTCACGTGGTAAAGAGGAAAATTTGACCATTTTCCCTTTTTTCCTATTTTTTTTTTAATATCCCTTCTTGCTATATGGACAAACCTTCAATGTTCAAAGTCAAAACATATTAAACTTGTCGTTTTTTTTATGAAACAAACAAAGTCAAAAGTTGAAAAGTCATTCTTGTAAATCACCTCTTGGTCAATGAGTTTTACTAACATAATTAAAAGGAGATAAGAGAAGGAGTTGATGATTAACTTACAAGTGCAAATAATATTTCTTCAACTGTGTCCTTGCCAAAGCAACCATTGATAATATCAAGTCTATTACATTGATGATTGGTAAATGACAATGTCATACCACAAACAAAAAGATATTTTTAGGTAGATAAAGGAAATATTACACAAAGTTGTATTAATGCACTTCACTCTTTTGAAAAATGAGACAAAATTTTCTAATATTTTGTAGTCAACCATAGTCATTTCGTTTGTGATCTAATCTCACAAGTCATGTATAAAGCTAGAAATATTTGAATACAAAAAAAAAAAAAAAGAATATTACCTTTTGAAAATACTTCCTTCCTTCAATACTGGATTACGAACGAATTCTTTGATGATTCTTGAAATGTCCGATTCATGAATAGATTTTGATGATGTGTTTAGTGATAATGCTTGGCATAATGCATTTTCCATCGACTCAATATCCTGGAAAAGGTTAAAGTGGTTATGTTTAATGTATAAGAAAATAGCAATACCGTGAGGTTTATTAACATGGAGAGCCTCAACTTACATGAAAATAACTAAGCATACATGAATGGGGAACATGCTAACTCTTTTGTGCACTAGACAGTTCCACCGATGTTTGTTTTGAGTAATTAGAAGCCGACAAAGTAGGAACTCTATTTGTTAGGCTACTTTTAGGAATAATATTATTAAGTACTATTTAAACATAAACAGTTAAAATTTTACATGAATATAATGCAAATAATTAATTTGCATTAAACTACCTTTTAGTGATCAAAGAAAAGAAAAAACTGTGTACTAATATTTACTTATTCACTTGTTCCAAATATTACTCTGATCTCTTGTATTTAGGGGAGTTGTCATTTTTCAGTAATTGTATATGATGATATCATTGACATGTAAATAGTTTCTTTGGTATATTTATCAAAATTAGCAAAGCACAACCATAGGTATATATATTAGTTGATTATTTGCATTTATTAGTTCTTGTAAAGCTAATTGTGAATGCATATTCTTAGAGTTCAATAATTCATATAATAGTTCTTAATTTCATTTGTTCCTATTTGTTTAGGTATCTAGTACTAGTATTCAGTAAGAAATGCAGCTAAGTGAAAATTGAAACACAAGCACCAATAAGTTGTAGTCCTCTTAATCCTTTAAGAAATTTACTTATTTTAGTTTAGCAATGATATTCCTTTGCCATGTACACCATGAGAAATTTTTCCACGTACGTCACATGTGAAAATTAAATGTCAATCTTGCAACATGTTTTATGAACAAACTGATTTTAGTTAAGCAATATATGCTTTATGAACAAACTAGATATTCCTTTTGTTTGTATTTTGAGTTTTGATAATGTAACAAACTATAGTGCAAATGGATCTGGTCCTCAAAGCTTTCGACTATAGGATAGGTAGATTGTGTGCAGTTGTAGAGGTCCAGTTGCAACAGTGATTGATGGGCATTGCAGCAGAGGCGCCAGTAATCCTCGACCAATGACATGCTCCTAGGTTTTTGTATCTCTAATAAAAAGAAAATGTTGACAAGATAAAAACCTAATTTTTGCATCAAGATTTTACACACAATAGCAAAATCTATTTTGAAGGAAGAACGTTACTCATATTCAACAAGGGACGTGATCGAGTGTTACAATGTCTTTAATTACATTATTGAGTCTAGTGTTTTGTGCTCTTACATTGCATATCTACTCCTATGTTATAAAGGATTAAATTGTTTCGTGTCTCACTGTCTTGAGATTTGAGTGTGCAGTAAATTGTTTCTTGTCTCACTGTCTCACTTCATCAGATACTATCCAATGAAAAAAATTGAGTAGGAGGACTACATCAAAATTTCTGGTGACAAGGATAAATAGAGAGATGGGTCCCAGACAAGTCCAAAAGAAGAGTTGTTTTTCATTATATTGTCAAAAAGGCTCTTGATGCTTGGGGAGACTCATCAAGTGAATTGGATGAACCAAAGCACCTAGAAGATGCTTCAATGGTAGCTATGGAGGATGCTGAATATGCCTTCACTTCACTCTTTGTTCTCATGGAAAAGTCAAAACTACGAGGATAAAGAGGTAACACTTCTTGACATTAAGCAAAATCTTATTATTATTCTCTCAAGAAACTAAAAGGCTTGGTTAATATCTTGATTGACTCACACTATGAGCTCATTACTATAATTGATTTCTTAAGAGATACTCTTGACATCTTAGAAAATGAGAAATATTCATTAACTTGTCAAATCTCAGAACTGGAGAAAAATTTGGTTTTAGCAAGTGCTGTAAACACAACACTAAAGGAGAAATTAAAGAAAATTCTTGAGTCTGTTTCAAAGGGAAATAGTGAGGAAACTAGACTGCAACTAGAACTTCAAGAATGCTTTAAAGAAGTATGAGTTGAATCTGGCTATATATTTAGAAAGAAATGTTTAGTTAGAAAAGAACTTGATCCGGGTGGATATATCACTGGCAAAGGTCTAGGGTGTCAAAAGTTTGATCCCCCATCCCTAGAGTAAATATGTGTTTGTATCTGAAAATATGTTATGTATTCAGTGTAGACGAAATGGACACCTTAAGAAAGACTGTCAAGCCTGGATAAAGACTGAGAATTTTTTTTCAAACTATGATAAATAGAAGAGAAAGTTTAGAAGGGGATCTGGTCCTACTTCTAAGGTTAAGAAAGTCAGATTGTCGGGCTGAACTAAAAGAAATCTTTGATTGCACCCTTATCTTCATTTTTGGAACTCAAACTTAAGTGGGTTCTCAAAACTAACAAATGATCTTACTGTGCAAGAGAGAGTAGAAGATAGTCATTATTGGTTCATGGATAGTGATGAATCTAAGAATTAGAACTCATCAGGGGGCTTTTAGTTCAATAATTAGTGTCCTTAATGTCATTTTACATCCAATGGTTAATTTTTATTTTGCTTAAGGACAAGGCAAGAACAAATACATGCAAAAAGAAGCCAAAACATAGAAAAACAAATAAAGTGTAAAGTTGATGCTCGCTGAAGGCATGTGGTGACTCAACAAAAGTGTCAGACCTCGCCAAATATGACAAAGTCTTCTACTGAAAAGCTCAAGGCAGGTCGGTGAGAAGAAGGAGCAAACAATGACTCACCAAACTTTGTCAGCTAGATGAAAAGAACTCGCTGAAAGTGACAGAACAACTAAGCTACAATAGAGATAAAAAAGGCGAGCAAAGGTAATAGTTAGTGACTCACCAAACATGAACACTTAGGGCCATCGGGCTCACCAACTATACTTCAAACACCTAAAGCCTGGAATGAAGGAAGAAAAGGCGAGAAGAAGTACTAGTCAGTGACTCGCTGAGTGAGTTGGTGACTCGCGGAGTGAGCCAGAGACTCGCAAAGTGTGCCCGCGACTCGCCGAGTGAGTCGGCAACTCACCGAGCTGACTAATATCGCCAACTGGGTCACGAAATGAAATTTTGGTTGAGATTAGGGAAAGTATAAATAGTTGAGAGAAAAGAATAAAACTCATCTTATACTCTCTGAAATTATAGTACAGAAGAACATTCTTAGATTTTGTGTGTTAAGCAAGTTTGTAATTCATTTTGGTGGAATTTGGAGCTAGGTTTCTAAGATTTTAAAGTTTTAATTTATCAATTTATATGGATGACAGTGTTTTTGGTATAATTTCTGTGAATTCCGGTATGATTAGCTAAAATCCTGATTCTAGGAGTGTGTAATTAAAGTCGTGTATTGTTTAATTAGTAGAATTTTGTATATTGCTCTATTTTACATTAGTTTTCATTGATTCAAACTAATTGGTAGGTGTTAATTGATGAATTAAGGTTGCAAACTTGGTTCTACTGTATATCTTCATGTATTTCTTGAAAAAGGTTACATTAAGTGGATGAGTAGTTTGATGCTTGCATTTTAGATTTTAATTCCTAGTTTGCTTGAAAAAGAAATTTGGAGTTTCACTTGTAAATGCTTGATTTGCTTGAAAGAGAAAACAAAATTTATGTTAAGGCAATGGATTGTTGAGTAGATTCTATATGGGAGGCTTTGAAAAGAGCTCCTATGATAAGCATGTTTTTATTGAGAAATGCAATGCTGTGTTTTTTAAATTAATCTAGCCTATCCAGAGGCAGCTAATGTTATTAAGCAATCATATCAATCTATTATTTGACATCAATACCCACTTCCGCACAAGCTTAGATTGTCACTCCACTTGCAAAACACTCGGTTGAATTTACTTTTGTCAAAATTGGTCACTAAATCATCTTAAATTGATATTTGGAGATATCCAACTTTGTTTATGTTGAACACTTGTTACTATCCCACAACAATATATTAGATCACAATTTGTCTTCATAATTGAATTCTTATATATATATCACTCCTTGTGGTGTTTGACCTGATCTCAAAGGTTGGGTAATTATATTACTAAAGATCACCTGCTTGTTAAATTATTATACGAGTAATATGAGTGTTATCAAAATGGTGTCACTATCGGAGAGTGGTGCATAGAATTTTTTACTGATTTAGTTGTACTAGAACACTCTTACCATTTGTTAAATTGGTGTGCTCTTGATAGGTAACGATATGAGTATCATTGGGAGCAATGCCTCTAGTCACAATGGGCAGAATGATGATGTTGGAAACTGGAACAACGTAAATCTTAACACATTAGGGAGTGGGGGAGCCATCGGTTACCCCCAACTGTGGGTAATGTTATATTTCATGTGACTGGAACCATGCTCAAACTACTCCAAATGAAGGGAACATTTGGGGTCTAGCTCTTGAAGATCCCATGATAACATTCACAACTTTGTGGATGTATGTGGCCCATTTACTTTGTAGAATATCACTCAAGAGTCCATTTGGATGAGGTTGTTTCCTTTCTCTCTAATGGGGGGAAGCAATAAAATGGTTGGCTGAATTATCAAGGGACTCAATTACTTTGTGGGAAGAGCTAATAGAGGTGTTCTTTGAGAGATTCTTTCCTTCTTCGAGAATGTTGATGCTTCGGGATAGCATTCAAAATTCTAAGCGAGTTGATGGTGAACCAATCCATGAGACATGGTTGAGGTTCCAAAAATGGTGTTACAATGTCCTAATTACGAGTTGTCAGATAAAGTGTTGTTGTAATACTTTTATCGGAGTCTTGATACCGTGATCAAGGGGGGTAGCCGATCAACTCATTTGTGGTGGTATCATGCGACAAGCGTTTGAGGTAGCTTCAGTTTTGCCTGATAAGATGACTAAGATTAATCGTGCATGGCATACAAGGGAAGATCAAGTGTCTCCTCTCAATGTGGGTTTAACTAATGAGCAACTAGAGAAGAACCAAGACCGTGATGAGAACTTGGCAAAAATGATGACCCAACTTGACTTGTTGTCAAAGCATGTCATGGGAGTGGATTCAAGTTGGTGAATGTGGTTGGTGGTGGTAGTGGGTTGATTTTTCCGGGTGTTGGGTTAGATAA